TCTCACTTGTTGCAGTGATGGTGCTCAAGACTCTCATGTGTGTGAGTGCTCAGATGAACGTATACTCCAAGGGCTTGCTTGGGGGAAATGGCTGCCGTGACAACATAGAAACTTGCTGTGCTCAGTGCCCATGTTCCTCCTCAAACTATCTCCAGCTCTCATTAGAAAAGGGAAATGTTGCTGAAAGGTGCTTATTTGGAAAGTGCTTGGAAAAAACTTTGGTTTGTTCTTTAGCAAACAGAACTGATGGCAGAAAAGAAGATATGGGGTTAGTGGAGCCCAGACATTAACTGGGGAAACCACTCAGCTTAACCTGCAGCATCGCCACAGCACATTCTCTGGGTACTATGTCAGCTTGGTGGTTCTTGATCTGGTACCCCAACTATCAGCTGTAAGATGTTTTGGAGTCCTCTGTACTCAAACACTTTCAGCAATCCACGAGACTGATTTGTTTGCTAATCACTTTGCATAGTGAAGCCTTATAAGAATTGTACGTGGTTATGGGGGAGCAGCCAGCTTGCTATTCCCCAGCTGAACCCGTGATCTAGTGTGAGAGCTTCTGAAAGTTTTGGTGCTTTACGTTTGTGATTAATCACCCCCCAGCATCGTTGTCATAGAGAGCAGCAGGGGCAAAGGCTGCTGTCCTCTCTGCCTGGTTCAGTCTCCGTGCTCCCGCAGCCATACTGTCCCAGCTCGGGGAGGATGCTCTGCGTTCTCCGTGGCTGCCAACAGATGGAGCTGGTTCCTGGGCTTCCACTCTAAATCAGGCCGACGCTGGTGAAGGGGAGCTGACCGCTCCTGCATTTCTGCCTGCACAGCTCCCTGTGGTGTTAAAACTGCTGCTTTCAGCAGCCCCTGGGCTCGAGTTTTGTAGCTGAAAGGCCTGGTTTTGTCACAGTGGCTGCAGGGAGAACCTGCAGCTCCTGTCCAGAGCTCTGAAGGCTGTGCCTGGCATCAAAGCAACCCTCCATCGACAACCCTATGGGAGTGCATTGTTCTGCCTCCGGCAAAGAAGAGGTGGACAGGGAGGGTGCATGTTGGCTGATTGGTATCTGCGGGGCCTCTGTTTTACTTATTTATTTATTTTCTTCTGTGGTTTGTTTAATTCTATAACCTTATACCTAGGTCTTGGTCAGGTCTTTGTGACAAGCTGGTGCATTCGCTCACCCCTATTCCTTTCCTTAGTTTCCCTTTCATGGAAGAAGATTGAGCCCAAGGGGAAAGGCCCATGTCCTCGACGCCGGCAGTGCTGCTGCAGAGTAGGGGACAAAATCATCCTCTTTGGAGGCACTAGGTGAGTTGTAGGGGGCCAACGGTGTGGCTTTGGGGAAGGGTTTGCCATTCCCTTCAGCACAATTTCCTTCCATGCTGTAGTCAGCTTCACTTTGTAGCAACATGGTTACAAAGCCATCTAACTTCCAGTGTGACAGATTATACACATCATAGCTCCTCTGGAAAAAGCAAAGGGGAAACTGAAGTTGTCGTGTTAATTTGTAAAGCACCTGATGACAAGTCTTATTCTGCAAGCAAGACAAGTAGCCTGGTCTGCTGTGCTGAAGCAGACTTCAGACTGATTTATTCTCCATTACATGCTGCCCTGCTTCTCCCACCAGAATTTTTTCTTCATTGGCAGGACGGGTGTCTGCTGAGCTGCAGAGAGATGTCAGCTCAGCCGGGAGCTGTTTGAACCATTCACACAAAGTAGCATTCCCTTCTGTGTACCAGTGTTCCTTAGCAAAATTTCCATTCATAGAAGGGACCCAGTGTTAAGGATTTAGCTGTCAAACACTGGAGTTGGTACTGTCAGGATGGAGGGCAGCTGGATGTGGCCAAGAGCCTTAGCAGCTGCTAAAAGGAAGGAAGTAGCCCATCACCAGGACATGCTCTGCGCTGTCTGAAATGACAGATTGCAGCTCTGGAGCACAGGTCTGTTTGCCAGCATTTACCTTGCACAGACATCTGAAATGTTTTCAGCCTTCCAAAGGGTTTGGAAAAGTTTGAGACTTCCCCTGGGACTCTGGAAGTGGCTTTGTGGGGAGAAGCTGGGAGCAGAGGACAAGACAGAGCAGTTGATAGGCTGATGTACCAATGTCTGATGAAGCAAAGGGCCTTCAGCTGCAGAAAAGCTTGGCATGGGAGAAGGGATAGTGGTAGGATGCCTGTGTGGATATGAGGGAGCCTGCAGTGCACAGTGAGGTGCTGGGAGATGCTGAGTTTATCCAGGCTCCCCACAGATACTGGGTGCTGCTCTGTGTAGCAGAAGGCTTGATGGCAGCTCTGGATGCTCTCAGGTGCTGCAGTCTTTGGTAGATAGTGCAGCAACTGAACTTGGGTGTTAAAACTCAGCTGTCCTAACAAGCACTAGCAAACCACAATAAATTTGACACCAGTTTTTCAGAGGCTGGTCCACCTCTGCCAGACAGACTGGCAGCAGCTTGTCTTTTCCACTAACCAACTTCAGTATTTGCCTTGTTCTTCCTGCAAGGTTCATCCATACCAGGCTGGGGTAGGAAAAGCTGCTGGTGGCTAGGAATGTAGCCTGCCTGGATGGAGGGACAGCTCTGCAGGCTGGGGTGGGGGCTGTGCTGGCTTCCTGTAATGGTTATCAGGTGTGTTCTGGAGCCGGCTGGCAAGATAAGAAGTTTTCCAGGAAGTCATTGTAAATGGAGAACTCCCTGCGGTCTGCCTGCTGACCTGTGCTCCCCTGCTGGGGAAGGGGAGGGGAGCATACGGATGTGGGGGATTCAGTGGCGCCTTGCAGGATCAGCCAGGCAACAGTGTTGGGCATGGGGAGGTAAACCTTTTTGTGTCCTGCCCTTCCTGCCAAGGATTCATTGCACGAGAGGCTGTTCAGGAGTTCTTCTGCAGGTGCCTGCTGCTGCATCATTCATGCGCTTCTTTTTGTTTTGCAGTCCTGCCCAGAGCTCTGTCTTTTTGCCTCTCTGTGGCCTTTCATTAAGGCCAGCAGCAATCCTGTTGTTTGCGTCCCATTTCAATGGCAGGGAAGCCATGTGGCACTAAGCCCAGTGCTTCTGCTAGCTGTGTCCCAGGCTTGGTCTCCTCCCAGACTTACAGCACTTCACAGACAGAGACCATCCACAAAGGGAGAATGAAGAGGTAATGGAGTACCATAAGTCAGAGTTTAGCTGTATGGGTGCTGATCCAGGTTTGTCTTGGAGCTGCTCTATCCTGATCTGGCTTAGAAAAGCCTGGCTTGGTGAGGGAGAGCAAACAGTTTTGCTGGGTCCTGGCTGGTTCCCCGTGTATTGGGAGCTGCAGCACTCCTGGTCTTGAACTCCAGGCTTTCCCCAGCTGCTTGCAGTTGGGTGATAAAGCCACGAGCACACTGTGCTGCCTGCTGGTTTCTCTTTGGAAGATAAGGGATGCCCTAGGTCTTCCTGTGACGTGGATGTGAGATTAGATTGTGGTGTTCTTGTATCCAGGCAGATGGGGCTTATCAGCAGCAGGTTTTCTCTGCCAGCAGCAAGCTGTGCCTTGTATTTGTGTGGGGGTGCTGAGGAGTGGGGACACAGGTGCTGCCTTAGCTCCTGTCCGACGTGAAGCTTGGTGGGTTATAGGTGGACAGCAAGCAACACTGCAGCGAGAATCACTGCATGAGGTCCCAGCTAAGCAATAAGAATGTACTGAATTGCCTTGTGGCAAGCCAAAGAATGACTCAGAACACCTTTCCTTTCTTGCAAGTTCTCCAAACAGCCATCAGTGCTTGGGCAAAGTGCTAATGCTGCAGCACAGGCTGGTCTGTCCTCTTAAGAAACTCTTGGAGGGTTCCAGGCAGGCTGAGTTCAGTCCTGGCCTTGCTCAACCCTTGGGGAGCCTAAAGAACTGCAAATGCTACGCAAGTGTTTTGGCACTGCTTGATGAGCTTTGTTTGGCTTCTGCAGCCCATCTCCGGAGGAGGGCATGGGCGATGAATTCGACCTGATGGATCACTCAGATCTCTACATCCTCGACTTCAGTACGTGAGTGCTCCCTGCACGATGTGTGCCTTTTGCCACCAGGTGCCTCGTTGAGAAGCACCGTTTCCTGTGGCGTTGATTGCCTGATGCCCTGATCCCCCATAGTGCCCAGATGAGGACTGCTGTGGCTAATCGCCCTCTATCCACAGGCCCTAGCCTAAAGACGTTGTGTAAGCTAGCAGTGATCCAGTACAGCCTGGACCAGTCCTGCCTTCCCCACGACATCAGGTACTGTAAACCTTGCGTTGGAGCTCACCCATGCATGCTCCCCAGGGCACTCTAGCCCTGGTTACTGCGTTCATGCTGCTTCTAATTGTGCCCTGTTGTTGTGTTACAGATGGGAGCTCTCAGCCATGACAACGAACAGCACCATCAGCCGCCCCATCGTCTCCTCACAGGGCTGATGCTGGCTCACCCTTCTATCACCCTGTACTCACCCCTCCACACACTGACCTCTTGCTCCACTGCCTGCATGAATTTTTTGCCCTTTCAAGCAAGGAACCTATGTGAGCTCCGTTTGTCTTGCCCCGGCCAGGCCTCCTTGGGCCTTTGTTCCATTCAGGGCAGCATGGGTGTGCAGGCAGAGCATGCCCCTGGGGAAGAAATCTGCGTGCCCCAGCAGCACAGCGGTGAACCCCCATCCTCGCCTGAAGAGCTGCAGCCACGCTGGCCTGGTGCCCTGCCAGTAAGGGCCTGAATTGACTCCTGCCGCCAGCCCCAGGCTTGGAATTATTCCTGTGCTGCCTCATAATCATGATGACGTTTGTGCCTGCACCCATTGGTGCTGAGCTGCCCCCAGCACTGGCTTGCAGGCCCAGGGTGGAGCTGAGCCCCTGCATCCAACATGGGGGCATTGCTGCCTGGCTCAGGTTGTAACACAGTGACCAGTGGGCGTTTTATAAACACTGAGGTGGAAGTAGCTTTCTTGATGCTCTGTGTGTCTAAGTCGGGGCAGCTATGCTGGGTGGGAGGTATGGGAGGAGAGGGCAGTGGCTGAGCCAGATGCAAGCTCTCTGTGCCTGGTGGGAGCTGGAGCCAGCAGGAAGAGTTGGCCTGAACCACAATGTAGCTGCCTCCTGGGAGAGTGACAGCAAGGGTGAATGGGGGGCAGCTGGTGACATCTCCTAGGCCTTGCTGCCTCAAGGTGGTTGGGTGCAGGGGTGAAACTTTGCTAACAATGCAGGAAAGGGTAGGGGAGTACTGTGAGCTTTTACTGGGATGCAGAAATCAGGGACAGCTTGACAGATGGTGATGGCTGTGTGCCATGAAATGCTGGAGCTTTTTGCTATAGCATCCCTTCCTTAGCACTGAAGCACCAAGCTTATTCTCCCTGCAGGGTGTTGGGCACCAGGAAACATGCACAGACCACCCTGACTTGCTGCATCAATCAGCACAACGCTGAGCACAGAAGTACCCCAGAATACTCTTGTCTCTGTGAATGGCTTCTCCAAGGAGAATAACAAACTTGAGGACACTGAGCAGAGGCTGGAGGGGCTCAGTGCCCTGTGCTGGCTTCCTCTTAGAGGAAACATTTGGAGGGGATAAGAAAAGGGCCTTGCTGGGGAGGGGAGGGAGTTTTTAGCACTATCTCCAAGGGGCTCTGCACACGCTGCAAGTTTCCATCCCATGGTAGGAGCTAGTGCTGGGCTGCTAGCTGTGGGCCAGGAGCCGGATGGACAAATGCCCTCCAGTGGGATCCCTGCTCCCTTCATCATCACCCCCTCCTGAGCCACCGAGTTTGCTTTAAAGACCCCAGCTTCCTTTTATTGCTTCCCCTCTCAGATTGCAGCCGGCTGTGAGGGCTATTTTTAGCAGCCTGCCTTCTAAAAATAGCCCCAAGATGTTTGGAATTGCGTCAGGAGGGGTACCTCTCCTCCACGCACCGGCTTGGCCCCTGCGCCCCAGGAGGCTACAAAAGGAGGCCAGGAGCAGTGGGGTCAGCAGGTTCAGACACAGCCAGAGGCAAAAGCAGCAAGAAGCACAGTGCCAGCTCCAGGCATCCCAGTGCCGGCACCATGACCATCTTCTGCAGCCACTGCCACAGGCCGCTGCAGGCAGAGACGAGCTGCCTGCCCAGGAGGGCTGAGCAGGCGCACGGTGCCTCCAAGCCGTTCAGGTGAGCTCCCCTCTGCCCCTTACCTGCAAGGGGAGGCTGCTAGCAGCTACTGGCCAGGGTGAGACCCAGCCAGGTGCAAGGCGTTTCTGCCAGCCTGGGATGCTGAGGCAAAGGATCTTGGAGGGGGCAGAGAGATTTTGGGAGGCTTGAATGAAGGCAGGTTCAACTTGCTGATCAAATGGGCTGCAGTTCGTGATCTGGCACTGGATGTGGTTTCTGCCCCAGCGGGGCTTGTTGGGGAGGTCATGTCACTCAGTTAGCTCTTAAAGCACGGGGATGCAAACACCAGCAGTTTCTCCTGCTAGGCAGCCACATGCATCTCTGTCTGCATCCACTAAAGGATTGCTATTCCTGAAAGACCTTGCGTGGCGCACGGAACCGCTCCGGCCCAGTGTTCCCATAGCAGGAGATAGGGAACGCTGTCCCTTTCCCTGGGCAGGACTCCCCAAACAGCTGGCTTTGCAGGTCAACCAAGAGTGCCTCCAAGGCACGTCGGGACCAGATCAACGCGGAGCTGCAAGCACTGCGCTCCCTGCTGCCCATCTCCACACAGGAGAAGGAGCGACTCTCCTACCTCCACACCATGGCCCTGGTGTGCCTCCGGCTTCGGGGAGCTCACCTCTTCCCTCCAGGTACCTGTGGGCGCTACTGTTCCTTCTCAATGGGTGCAACTCTGATCTGCATGGGGCACTGCTCCCATCCCCTTTCAAAACAGTGTTTCACACTATGCTTCCCCTGCAGCCTCAGCTCCTCCCTCAGCACCGGTCCTTGCTGCAGAGCTGCTCTCCTTGCTGCCGGGGTTTCTGCTTGTGCTCTCAGCCGGCGGCAAGCTGGTCTACATCTCTGAGAATGTGTCTCAGATCCTGGGTCTCTCCATGGTAAGGGCTGGCCAACACAGATTTGCAGTCATTGTTTCCCTGTGCTCATTGTGCATGGCACACTGTCCTCATGAGAAGCTCTTGCACGGTATCAGAGGGTTATGAGGTTGCAGTGTGCCAGCACACAGCCCGCTGGGGCCTGCCATGACAGTTCCTTCTATCAGGTGGAGCTTCTTGCCCATGGGGACACCATCTTTGACATTGTGGATGGGCGAGCATGGGAGGACGTGCAAAAGAAGCTTCTCCTCGCCCAGGAGCAGCCAGGCAGGGGTAAGGCTGGGGAGGAGTGCAGTGTGCTCACTGAGGTCTCCAGGCTAGGATCTCATTGGTGCTGCCCTGCTCTGGCTCTCCAAGGCTGAGGTCAGACCCAGCAGGTTGCCAGTGAGGGCGCTGAGGAGTCCCTAATCCACTCTCTGCAGAAATAACCTTTGTCAGTGAGATGCGCACATCCAAGGCCTTCCGGCTGCAGCACGGGGGGAATCAGGCTGTGGCAGTACGCGGGCGCTTTGTGGTCCCACGCTGGCCAGCCTCCCCCTCCACCACAGCCTTCCTGGCCCTCTGCACACCAGTTGCACAGCTGGATGCAGATCACGACACTGGTTCTCAGGACAACCTGTTTCAGAGCACACATGCCCTAGACATGAGGTTTATGGATGTCACAGAGAGGTGAGGGTGCCAGCCAGCTGTCCAGGACAGCCAGGATCATCTCCCTTTACAAAGGCTGGGTGTGGGATGCAGGCTGGACTCCACTCCTCTTGTCCTCCCCAGTGCCATCTACCACCTCGGCTACCTCAGGGAGGAACTGATTGGCCAGTCGTGGTACAGCCTCCTGCATCCTGAAGATGCTGATGTAGCAGCCGCTCAGCACAGGGCTGTGGGTGAGTATTACGCCCACACTCACATGTCTTCCTCTAGTCTTGTCTGGCTGTGCTTGAAACCTGGCTGCCTAGGACAGCCAAAACAAAGTGAACGGAGTCCCACTCCCTGTAAAAAGCATGAAGCAGAAGTCTAGTTTTATGCCCCATACACCGACCACATGGGTTTGCCTTGAGCCCTGTCTTTCTGAGAGGCTGCAGACCTGACTGCTGTCTGCAGCTTCCGTCTCGCTGGGGCTGCAGCTGCATCGGGGCCACCAAGGCCCGCCCCGGCAGCGAGGCCAGCTGCGCCCCGCCACCCGCTGACCCCGCCGCTTCCCCGCAGCGCTGGGTGCCGGGGCCGTGCCGGGGCCCGTCGTGCTGCGCGTGCTCCGCAGGGACCGCACCTGGGCCTGGCTCCGCGTGTCGGCGCGGCGCGGGGGCCGCTGCATCACCTGCACCAGCCGCGGCCTCAGGTGAGGGTTCAGGGAGGGAGGAGGCCGGTGGGACGCGGGAGGCCGCCATCGGCTCCCGCTCCCCGCGCGCCGCCCCTCACAGCCGCGTCCCGCTAAGCAGGGAGGAGGAGGCGGCCTACTTGCGCGCCCGGCAGCACGGCCCACCGCCGCTCGTCCCGGCCCCGGCGCCGCCGCCCGTCGCTTCCCCGCCAGAAGAGGGGCTCGGCCTGCTGGCCGCACAGCTCCGCGCCCTGGCCGACAGCCTCTCGCCGCCCGCCGCCTACACCGGGACGGAGGCCCGCTGCTACGGCCAGCCGCAGCCGGACGCCGCCCTGGTGCTGGCCCGTCTCCTAGGCGACGCGCTGGAAGCTTCCGGGTCGCACACGGCGCATGCGCGCGGCGCGCCGCTCCTCCACCAATAAACGCCCGTTCTGCCTTCCCTTCTGTCCGACTGCGCATGCGCCGCTTCCGAGGGTTCTATGCCGGCGGGGCGGGCGGCCATGAGGCGGGCGGCAGCGGCGCAGGGGCACCGCGTGGGGAGCGGCGGCGGCAGCGGCAGCGGGGCGGGCGGGGAGGAGACGGGTCCGGAGCCGGGAGGTGAGGCGCTGCGCCTATCGCCGCGACCGGCCGGGGGAAGTTGTGCTGCGGGAATGGCGTCCGTGCGGAGCGGGGCTCCGGCAGGGAGCGGCCGTTGAGGCTCCCGGGGCTGCGGCTGTGCCCGGGCTGCTGGGCGGAGGGAGGGGAGCCTCTTCCAGAGCGACGGTCCGCGGGGTTTAACGAGGCGGAGCGGTTTCCTTCTGCCGGGCGGGCGCGGAGGGGCGGCAGCGCTGTTTGTGCCGCTTGTTTCCTGCTCCGGGCCAGAAGGCGCCTCCGGGCAGCCGTGAGAAGCTGCTCCGCTCAGCTGTGCTTCGCTCTCCTCCAGATGAGGCTGACCTGTCGTTGGAAGAACGGCTGCGGATGCAGAGTGCGGCCGGAACGAGAGGGTGCCGGCAGCTGAGCGATGGGAAGAAAACAGCAACGCCTGGCAGAGCTCCGGTGAAGCAGCAGCTGAACAAAAAGGGGTAAAGGTGCCCCTCGTGAGCGGCAGGACGTGTCTGTGTGCTCTCCGTGTGCTCCAGAAGCAGAGCTGGCAGCTCCTCGCGGTGCTGACGTTGCCTTGGAGCTGGCGTAGATCTCTGATGTGCTGTACGGCTGTGCCCTTCATTGTAGTGCTTTATTTGGGAATGATCTGCCAGTGTTACTGAGCCCTCAGTGCTCTGTAGTGCTCACATCCACGGCTGTCTGCTGTTATCTGGTGCTTAAAGCAGTACTCAGTTCCCGTGTACTCTTTTAACCCAGAAGCGTGGTGAGCTTCTCCTTGAAGCTGTGATCAATAGTGTTTTACTTGTACTTTCCCAGCCCTGCTGCTTTCTGAACCTCTTGTGGCTTCTCAGCATTTTCTGCCCTGCTCCCAGAGCTGCAGTTGTAGGGTCAGCTGATTGTCTGGAATTTCATTCATCCTTCTGCTGTCATCCCCTCCGTGGCTCATCTGTTGATGTTCTTTTCTTTCCCCTCTGCATTACTTGCAGTCACAGGCTCTGTCCCGTTCTCAGTGCTCTTTACACTTCCAGTTCATGTACTCTGCAGGTGCTATTAATGTGGTGTCTGTGAAATGAATTCAGTGTAACAGAACCTATCTGATTTCCAGCAGTCCTCCTCAAGCCTCCATTAACATCTGTCAAACCGTTACTCTTTATTTGCAGTACTTAGCAGTTTTTAGTCCTCAGAGTTGCATCCAAACGATTTGAACAGGTTTCCTCTGTTACCGTGGCGTTCCCTAACCTATTTCTGAATGCATCTTTCCTCTGCTTTAAACAGTTGACTAGAATAATGTTTCTACTTTACCTTCTACCCAGTAGTCTGGGGGATTTTTATGTAGTGTGCAGTCTTCACACGGCATCCCTATTTCTGCTACTCTATTTGCATAATTCTGCTTTTATTACTTAATTTCCTTAATCCTTTCAGCACTGTACCACTGCAAATCCCAGATGCTGTTTCTTTCATGGTTTTTATTGTGGAATTGAACTTCTTAGAAAAGCACTTGAGGGAAATCCCTGGGAGCTCGGCTGTTTTCAGTAGTGGTTTGTAAAGCTGAGTCGAGCATTGCACAGGGGTGCAGCCTCATGAGAAGATGTGAAAATAAGCTGAACATTGCTTTAAGTGGGATTTGGAAAACTTACTTATTGCTGCGTGGTTGTTTATGCTCCTCACCCCAGTGCTGCTGTATTGCTGAGTGTAGGTGTAATGCCAGGACTCAGTGATTTGCACATCTTTGTTTCTGATAACTTAACTGATGTAGTGGTAAATCACAGGATGCAGCGTTCAGGATGGGGAGAGTAATGCTCTGTCCTGTCATCTTACATCGTCTTGCCTTTACTCCTGAAGCATCATGCTCTCAAAGCTCGTGTTGCAAGAAGGACTCATTTCCTTAATTCCTTTCTACCACAGCTCCTGATTCAGCGTGAAGTCTCCTTTGGAATAAGTATCATAAGCTGTATGCCTTTATTCCTGGGGTCTGATTTCTCCTTTACCTGAATTATGTTATGCTTTCTCACTGATCTTGATCACACTAGAACTGGCCTGCACTTGTGACTACCCACATCAGTGAGAAATTCCCAACTTTGGTCTCACGTCTCAGTGTATCACTTAAGAGTGCATGAGCTGGTCAAGGAACAGAAGAGGGTCATTATGTGATGTATGAAAATATGGAGAGAGGAATAATTTTTCACTGATACTGCTGTACAGTGGTAGGTTTCCTCTTGGTACAGTGAGGTTTTGATGCTTTGGAGCTAGATTAAAGCATGCAGGTGTTTTCTGTAGGATTACTTCAGTTACACATTTATAGGTGAGTTGGTCGTAGTGGCCACATCTGGCTTTTGATACCTACAGCCTCCATGAAGTCTGGTGTTTTGTCACTGTGTTAATGTTCTCTAGAGGGTCTGTCTGACCTTTTGAGATGTTAGTCTGGGTCTCTTTCTGCCCTCTGCATCTTACAAGTATGTTTTTTCCCTCTTTCAGGCCAGTAGAGATGTCTGCCAAGAAACCCATGCCTTTTCTGCGACAGGTTGTCCCTGTTACAAAGAAGGTGGGTGCTCCTTCACCCCACTTCAGGTACTGACTGTGTTTAGTGATGCTGAGGGGCACAGATGTGATAATGGTGCTGCAGAAGGTGGCAAAGGCTGTTTGTGGAGGATAAGTCTTGGCTAGCAGCCTGCTGAATAGGGATGATGATAGCATGTCTCTGGGGAGAGCAGAAGACGGGGTCCAGGAGGGGCTGCTGCTTTGACCTTAACTTGGCCCTTTGAGAATAAGCAGGATATTAACAGAGCAGTCTGGCTCTGACTCTTGCCTCTGCCTTCAGGTCCACAGAGACCCTCGATTTGATGACCTGTCTGGAGAGTATAACCCTGAAATATTTATGAAGACGTACAGCTTCCTGGACACCATCAAGAAGCAGGAGAAGGAGGTAATGCCTTGTGCCTGTCTTTGGCCAGAAGAAACTTGCTTGGCAGGGGCGGCCCCCGCAGAAGCCTTTTGCAGTGGAGCTGGCAGGCAGGCAGTGACGCAGCTTTCTGCTCTCTTCTCCAGATGGTTCAGAAGCAGCTGAAAAAATGCCGGAATATGGAACAGAAGGAGAAACTGCAGCAGCTCCTGAACCGCATGGTGAGTTTGGTGCAGCATCCCCTCTGTTAGGCAGTGCACTGATAGAGAGGATGTGTGACCTGAGGTCTGCGTAGACACTTGCTGACATGGGCCATCCGTTCTGTATAGACACAGCAAGAACAGGCACAGAAAAAACAGCAAAAACAGAGGGAAAGGGAGCTGACTTTGAAGAGGCAACAGCGGGAGCTGGCCAAGCAGGGAAAGAAACCCTTCTTCCTAAAGAGATGTAAGTACACAGTGCAAACATATTGCAGGAAGACCTGGAGGAGGGTACTGCTGACAGCAGTGCAAGCTCTGGAGATGAGCTGTCCATAACAGCTTGGAGCTGTGGAGGGACTGTGGTGCTGGCACTCAAGTGACAAGCCAGGCCTGGAGCCCAGCAGGAGGAAGTGAGAAGGTGTGTAGAGAGAACTCAGGCTTGGATCATAAACCTTGGTCCTCTCTCCTTCACAGCTGAGAAACGGAAATTGGAGCTAGCAGAGAAGTATGCAGAGCTAAAGAGGAGTGGAAAGCTGGAGAGCTTCCTGAACAAGAAAAGGAAGAGGAATGCTGTCAAAGATAAGCGCCGCTTGCCCTTGCAGAAGAACCTGTGACTGCTGCACAGACAGTTGTTACCTGGAGAGGTGGTGCTGGCGCTGGGATTCACTCTGGGCAGGCCTGGAAGATGGCAGCTTCTCTTCTCATTTTCTGCCTTCTGCTGTACAGTGGTGCTGTTAGGCAGCAAAGTCTGAACAGGAGAAAAATGTGCTTTCGGTAGCTGAAGAGACCTCTGCACTTGTGTTTTACATCATACCTGGGTGGTGACAAGTCTGTCATGCAGATGCATATGGTGCTGATTGGTTTCTGTCCTTGCAGCTGTGCTCTTCCTGTAGCTAGGAGAGCCCAGACTGTGCCCTGTGCTGCTGGCTCTTCTCCATGTCTTACTGGGTCTCAATGAAAAGGGTATCAGGTGGGAGGGCAATGATCCAGTCTGCTCAGAGCAGGTTCAGCACTGCGTTCAGACCAGGATACTCTTGCTTCAGAGCTTGCTTCATATGGGTTTGCAGATGTACAGGGATAGAGGGTACTACCGTTCCGGACCCCTGTTCTACCGCTTCAAGTTCTCAAGGTGAAAGTCCTTTTTCCTCCAGGAATCTTGCCTGTTTTTAGTCTGTGATCGCTGTCTTGTTCTCAATTAAGTGCCTGGCTCTGTCTCGTTAAAAACCTTGTAGTAGGTCTGGGAGGTGAGCAGGAAGAGGTGCTCCTAGGTCTCTTTGAAGCCTTCACTTCCCATGACTGAGTAAAAAGCCCTCACCCCCCAGCACAGTTCTCCAGCCCCCAGCAGCTTTTGTACCCTCGACTGGAGTGAGTCCAGAGATCCAACGTCAGGGCCCAGCTGGGTGGAGTGTCCAAATATAGTCTGCCCAGAGGTGAGAAAGCAAGAGAGATCAGCATCCCCCTCTGGGGCTGCACCCTGGTGGAGTATCCCATGGTGTGGCCTGCCTCCCCCACAGACAGGGCGTGCAGCTGACTGTAGTCAGGCACTGCTGCCCAGGATCTCTCCAGCAGGGCTGCCCCCATCTCAGCCTGTGCTCTAGAGGGCTGTTAGCATTTCTACATAACATTGATTCTGTATAAAATAAACACCTGCTTTCCTTTACTCCCAGTGTCACTGCTGTTATAAGCAAAGGTGTTTGTTGCAGTTTGAACTTAGAGGATGTGCTTCTCTCTGGCATTACAACTGACCACTAACTCTATAATTTCTCCTCGCTCCTAATGGCTCGATTTCAGTGGCTGTGCCAATGCAGAAGTGATGTTGAGGTGATGCAGGTGCTATGAGCCAGACTCTGGTCAGCAAGGCAGATCACCCCTGCCAAGCCTGCACATAGCTCCACTGCTGCAGGTGGCAGCTGGTGTGTGAGGCCTGGGAAAAGGTTTTGTGAAGAAGAGAAAATGGAAGATGAGCAACTTCGTCATGCCTGGCTGAGGGTGTTACTGAAGCATCTGCCTCTGCTGCAATTCCTGTGGGTGATGAGAGCTCTGCACTGGTTACAGATTTTAGTGTGACTGGGCAAAGGCAGCAGAAACAGGATGTGCCAGCTTGGTGAGGGACACCACGGAAATCCTCAGCTGTTTTTAATCCAGAACTGAACAAATGTCCTCTTGTAAAGGTGCAAGGGGACAGTTCAGTAAGAAGGCTTGGTCCTGGGCTCGCATGGGAGCCACTGCTGCCAAGGCCTTGCCAAGGGGCTGTGTTGCTGCAGGGACAGGCAGCAACAGTCCTAGGCATCGGTGGTGACCTAGGAAGCGCTTAGTGGGTGTGGGTGGCCACCCAATGAGATCCCCCATTTCTTCCCTCCCCACCCCCCAAAGAAGTGCTCTGCAGCCGGGCATCAGGGAATACAGACACAAGGAGAGCTCAGGCCTTTTATTGCAAAGAGGGAGATACGAAAAAGGTCAGTTACCCTCTTCGAGCCCCCACCGAGCCTGCGGCTGTCTGAGAGGGACAAGAGGTGGGGGGAGCCAGATCCTCGCTCCCACCAGGAGGGGCACCTGGCTGGGGCAAGACACTGAAGTGGAGCAGGTGACATCTCTGCTCAGCCTCTGGCTTGAGCTGGAGGGCTGTGGTCCTGCACTGCTTGGCTGCCCCATCGCAGTGTTGCCCCTGGGGAATGGAGCAGCCTTGCCCAAGGAGGGAGGAGACAGGGTCAGTCCCTGCTGTCCAGAGGCAGGGGGGCTCAGCGACCCTCCTGGTGTCTTGTGGGGATGGCCAAGCGTGGCGGTGCCCAGGCTGTGGTTGCCACTGGCATGTCACGTGTTGTCCTGTGCCAGCTCCTCAGGGCAGGCAGGCTGGTCCCGAGACTTCTGCAGCCCTGGGGAGGGCTGGGGCTGGCAGCTATGCTGTGGGGCAGGGCCCGGCCCTGGCGGCGCGTGGTGCCTGTGCCGCTGGTACTGCACAAACATACAGACCTTCAGCCCGATGGCCAGCATGTTCTTGCCCATGAAGATGCTGGAGACCCGGGAGTCCCTGAAGAAGAGCATGTTGCTGCCTCGGATGAAGATGGTGGTGATGTTGACGGTGAGCATGCTCAGCATGGGGTACAGCATCATGCGGTGCGGCATAATGCCGATCCCCTGCATGCTGATCTCGCACAGGGAGACGCAAGGCAGGACCAGGAGCAAGATGTAGCAGTAGAAGAACATGATACCCTCGGCCCAGAGTGGCAGCCCCTTCTTCTGGGGCTCCCACAGGTTGGCCTGAATATCCAGCACATCCAGCATGTCCACGATGACCCAGAAGAGGCGGTTGCGAAGATCTTCTTTCTTCTTGAATGTCCTGACGTACTCCATGTGCTCTGTGGCCACCAGCAGCACGTAGAGGGCTGGGATGCAGATGGAGAGCAGCAAGGTCAGCGCTTTGCGAGCCATGAGATCTAGGCTCTTCCGATCAGCTTTGTAGTTCTGGTAGACAAAGTAAACCTTGATCTCCAGAACGAAGACATAGAGGAACCAGAGGATCATGGCATAACCTCGCTTGGCTGTCTTTACCTCTGCCCCAACCCAGATCGCCACGTAGCGGAGCACCAGCAAGAAGCACACATCGCCCACTGCCACCATGACACAGATGCCCAGCTTCCTGGAGCCCTGGCTCTGCTCCACCAGGTAGGCATCCATGAGGATGAGGCTGCTCATGATGAGTACAGTTGAGAGGCACACGTGGGGCTTGCTGACAGGTGGTGGGGGAACCATTCTGCACAGAGGAACAGGTAGGACCATCAGGGAGTTGCTGGGCTTCCCCATCCCTATTCTTATCCTATCTCCTCACTATAGATAGCCAAAGGAAGGGGTGGCATGTGTTCACAGACTCTTCTAGCTTATCTCCTAGCCAGGCTCTGTTGCTGCAGAACATCCTGCTAGGGAAAGGTGTGAGAGCCTTGAACTCAGAGCCTGAGTCCCAGCAAACAAGCTGCTTCCCCCTGCAGTGCAGGAACCACTGCTCCTAGGCTGCATGTAGGGGAACTGTGGGGCAGCAAGCTGGATGGCCTTTGAATACTTGGGATGCTACTGTCTCTTCCAGAAGCTCATTGCATTAGCTAATTACTGCCATCATGAAGGGCACGTGCCTTACTCCCATGGCCATTCCCAGACAGTGGCACTGGTTATGTTTTTTCCTGTAAAGCACACAAGGCCATGTCTACGCTTTTATCCCAAGCAGGTCCACAATATAGCAAGCCAGGCCCCCTATCTTTTCCATCTCCTTTATTTTCATGCACAGCAGTAGGAGAAAGATGATTTTCAGTATGGCCGTCCTGCGGGGTAGGAGGGAAGAGATCTGCCCAACATTCTCAGTTTCTTTCAGCCTTGCGATCCACAAGAGCTTTGCTTCCTGCTCCCTGGCAGGATACAACAGAGCAAAGAAAAGCAGCTCTGGGATGCAAGGAGCTCTGCAAGAGGCCCTAGATTTCAGCTTGACGCTCAGCTTTCCTACGTGGACTCAGAGCAAAGCCCCACGCGCACCCCTGTGCCTCAGATGGCACGGGTGCTGTCGGGCTCCCTCCCGGCCCAGCACAGCTGCGGGCAGCTGCTGCCAGAGCCGGAGGGAGCTGGGGCCCAGCCTGGCACGGCTCGGCAGCTGCTCTGGAGGGAAGCCAGTCCCCCGGCTGAAACAGAGGCCGAGCCGGCTCCCCGACGCTGGGGCAGCGCGGGGCTTTCTCTGCCCGCCGCGGGCCGGGAACCCCGTCGCACCGACACCGCGTGCCGCGCCAGCCTGCGTTACCTGGGGGTGCCCGGGCACGAGAACGCCCCGAATCCCGCATGTCCCGAGCCTTCGGCCGTGCGGACGGACGGGCGGCAGCAGGAGAGAGGCGACGAGGAGGGCAGCTGCTCCGAGCCGGGCCGCGAGGCGGGCCGCAGGGACGGCCGGGGCGAGGCGGCGGGGCTCCGCGTCCGTCTCTCGCCGTCCGCTCGCAGCATCGCCCGGGGACCCGCGGCGCGGTGCCCGCGCGCCGGGGAAACGAGCTCTCGGCACGGAGCCGCGCAACGGCGGCCCGGAGCTCCCCGACGGGGCCGCGCTTACCTCGGGCGGCTCCCCGGCGCTGGGCGGCGGAAGCGGCGGAGGAGCCCCGCTGACGGCCCCGGGCCCGGAGCGGCATCGCCCGGCGGCGTCTCTGCGGCGGCGGCGACGTTTGGCCCCTCCCGGCCGGGCGGGCGGGGACTGCGGCGGCCCCCGCCTCGGCGGCACGGCACGGCACGGCAGCGGAGCGAGGCGACAGGCGGCTGCGCTCGTCCCGGGGTCAGCTCCGTGCCAGCGCCTGGGCTGAGACCCAGCTTGGTTGTGATTGACGGAGGTCCTCGCTCTCCGGGGAAGGCTTCCCAGTACATTTCCACTCCGCCTCGGCAGCGCTCGTTGTAAATAGGCGTCGTTCTGGAAGACCGGCCGTGACCTGTTAGGGAAAGGCTGTGCCCCGGAGGGCGGCGGGCATGGCAAGGGCTGCCCAGGGCAGTGGGCACAGCCCCGATGCCGGATCAGACACTGCTTTGGGGCAGACGCCCATTAGGGGTGGAGGATGCCGAGTGGGGCTGGGGGTTGGGCTCGGTGAACCTTGTGGGTCTCTTCCAACTTAGTTGATAGAGTGATGCAAGAGAGGAGGAAGCCAATGCGGAAGCAAAACCCACATCTTCCCTGTCAGCCATCAGGATCAGGGCAGTGCCTTGCAGGTCTCCATCCTTGGAGGCACCAAGAGGTGGCCACATAGGTGTGCATACGGCAGAGGCAAGGGAGGGGTGCTTGAGGCAGTTTTCAAGCAGTGGAGCTGTGGACAAGATGATTCATCTCTGGGCTGCAATCATAAAGCCCCTGAGTCTTCACTAGAGGCTAGGACAGGAGGTGACAATGTTCGCGTGGGAAGCAGTGAAGAGCTGCTTTAACGAGGCACATAAAAATAAGCAACCAGAGCAAGAGCAGATATATGCGTGCTTCACTAAAACACGACGCTGGAGCTGAGTGGCATGGATCGCATATGGATGTGGCTGTGATCAGAGACAAAATGGGAAGAAAGCAAAGAAGGGTACAGTGGGGATCCCGAACAGATGGCTCTGGTTGCTTGCATGCTCCAGGTGGAAAGCATCCTTGGCTCATCCCTGTGCTGCCCCAGTGCTAGCACCAGAGCATCCCTCTAGAACAGAGACCACAGTGTGAAGGCAGTGAGAGGAGAGCCAGAGAAATCCACCTGTCACACTGAGCATGCTTGAAGAAGCAGAGGAAAAGGGGGAAGATTTCCAGCAAGGAGCTGCAGATAGAGGCTGCACTGAGAGCTTCAGCTGCTCCAAAACCCTCATGGCCCCCAGGGCCAGAAGCTGGAGGTGATGGACATACTCTAGGAAGGCAAACTACCAAAATACCCACCCTGGTAACAGCTGAGAGGAGGATAACAGAGTATGGAAGCAATGGTGACAAGGACCTCTGGGTGTAAGCTCAGCCTCTGAGAAAATGGTGCCTACTGTAAAACATTAGTTTCAAACATAGCCATGCAGCCCTAACGGACTAGAGAGTGTGTGCTGCTAATCCTGCTGGCAGTGGCTAAGGGGAAATTATGGAAAACAGAGCAATGGCAGGCACAAGGTATGAAGCTGTAGCAGCTGCTGGAACACCTCAGTGCGTGCATGGGAGCTATGTAGCTGGTAGTGCATGCAGTTCCAGTGGCCTCAGCTAAAAAAAGAGTTTTGCAAATGGAGGCTTGAGGCTTCAGCACATGCATCCTGGAGGTCCTGCAGGCCGGGGAGGGCAGAGGGTGGAGGGCAGGGCCCAACCCAGCTCTCCACAAAGTGAATGATGTAGTAGCAGAACAGGGAACCACAGGCCAAGCCCTACTGCTGTGGCACTGTCCCCAGACCGGAGGCTGATGCGGGTGCAAGGAGGAAGGCTGCTTGTGCCACAGCCGCTGGGTGTCAGTGCAGACCCACGCAGCCGGCTCAGCACAAAGACACCCCTCGATGCTGTGATGAGGAGCTGGGGGAGTGGTCGGCCTGTCTCACCCAGGCCCTGGGCCCAGATGTCTGTCTGTCCCTCCCCAGACTAGAGCGTGATGCGGGCTGAAGCGTGGTCCTCCAGCTAAAAGCAGGGAGGTTTGAGACGGAGTTGTAGAAGAGAAGTGCTGTGATCTTGAGCTCCTATTGTGTCTTGCTGCACCTGAATCTCATCCAGGGGTCAGGGGTGCACGGGTCTCAGGGGTGTGCAGGAATGGCTTTGCTTGGGAAAAGTGCTGGCCCAAAGGGATCGATACCCTGTGCAGGACTGGCCATCACAGCAGCACTGAGCAGTGCCTTGTGCCCTGTCTGCTGGGGACAGCACTGGACTGCTACAAGGTCTCTTGGTAGTGCTGAAGTGCTGGGGAGGAGTTAGAGGGCATAGTCCCATAGAAGTGAGGTGTGAAAAAGGAGAAAGTGTGGTTTTTTTTCTTCTTTTCAGAGGCACGTTTCTAGCTGGGTGCTGGGATGCCAAAGAAGAGGGCTTCTTGGCTGCTTTCGCTCCAGGATGAAGTAAATCTCAGCACACAGCAAGGTCTCAAGAGGAGGTGGAGAAGCTGCTAAATTAGATGCCTGCCAGGTTGCGTTTAAACCATAATACAACCAGGTTCTGGCACTTACGATGAAAAACATAGGAAAAATGTGACCCCAAAGACAGCGGAAAGCCAGTGCGCATGGAAGAACACATTTCTGGACAGCTCAACTTGTAGGCACGAAGTCAATGTAACATGAAAGGAGAAAATGAAGAGCAGTCTGCATAGCTGAATAAGCAAGGCACATTGAAACAGACTGAGAACAAATGCATAAATTCATCTCTAGAAAAGCCAGCAGGCTGAAGAAACCACGTGGGCTGCAGTACGGATGGAAGTGCTCAAAGGGCATAGGCTGTAAGAAGAGAGCCAGAGAAACCCACCTCCATCACACTGAACATCCTCAGGAGGAGCTGCAGGAAAAGGGTGAAGCCTGTCAGCAAGAAACTACATGTGGTGGCTGCAAGAGAGGAAGGCTAGCTGCGGGCTGGGGACCACACAGAGCACTCTGACAGCTCTGAGAAATCATCACAGGGCAGCACAGCCTCAGAGCAGAGAGATGGCTGGAGGTGACAGGTGGCCCAGCAAAGCTGCAACCCCTCAGGGGCTGTCTGAATGTTTGGAGGTTGTCACTGTAGCAGGCTGCCATGGCCTGAGCAGAGAAGTGCCACGTGCCTCCTGGAGGGGACAGAGCATCCCCAAAAGCCCCGGGGTGCCATTGAAGCACCACGTGGATAGGTGAGGATGGTAACTGAGACTGAAAAGCAGAGGGCAAAAGTCAGCTGCTGGGGAGCCCCTGCAAGGGGGTTTGAGGTCCTTGGGAGCAGTCAGCTGCTTGTGGGGAGAGGTAACGGTGATACCCAGCTGAGATCAAACCACGGTGGGTGGAGGTGCTGAAGCAAGGCCAGGCCAGCACAGCCACCACGGCTCCTGCCTCTGACCTGGCTTTCCACATTCACCCGCAGAGCAGCATCCCTCCTCCAACGGGATTTCCTCAGAAGCCCCTGCTGAGATCCCTTAGCAAATGCTCTCAGAGGGCCGGGGCTGTCTTGGATGAAGGGAAAGGCCGCCTCGTGCGTGATGGGCTGCTCAGAGGGAAGGGAGGCTGTGAAGCAGCTGCTCTGACAGCAGGACAGCAGGGCCCTGGGCTGTCCATCGGGCGCAGAGATGGGCTGGGGCAGGGAGGTAGAAAAGTTGGGTTAAGGCACGAATTGATTTGCTAGTAAAACCAAAAGCTGACGTGACTATCTGCGTATTACTAAGAGGCCTGAGGCTTAACTGCGGATTAAACGCCAAATTTACAAACGCAAGTGAAAAGAAACGATCCAGGAGATCGTTGGCAATCAGGAAAGCGACCCTGAAATCCTTTCGGATAGCAGAGAACGTCAGCGCTGCGCTCGAGACCCACAGCGGCGCGCAGACCCGGCCGGGGGCCGGAGCCCCTTCCCGCAGCCCCGCGCACCCCCCGCCCAGGCCCGCAGGCCCCGTTGCCACGGCAACCCCGCCAACCGGCCGCGCGCCCGGCCGCGCCCCTTGGCGGGCTCGCGCAGGCAGACTCAGGAAGAGGGGCTGCTGCGCGTTAAAGGGCTCGCGGCCACGCCCCGCTCTGTGGCAGCATTCCCATTGGCCGAGCCTTCCCCAGGCGCCGAGCCCTTTCTCCTTTCGATTTGCTAATGCTCTCCGCGGCCTCCCCCTTCGCCGTTCCGATTGGCCGGCGCCGCCCGAAGCTCCCTCCCCGGGCCTCTCCCTTTCCCCCTTTCCCATTGGCCGTCCTCCCGCCGCAAGGCCGCGCCCCTCCGGCCGCGCTCCGATTGGCCGCGGGCCCGCCCGCCGCCGCCCTGCCGCCCTCCGGTTGGCGCTGCGGGGCCGCCGTGTCCCGCCCCGCTCCGCGGGCGCGCGCCGAGGCGGAGGCCGGCGCTGAGGGGTCGGCCCCAGCGCCACCGGCGGCAGCGGGATGGCGGCGGCGGTCGGCGCGTTGGGCTCGGGCCCCGCCGCGGGGCCCCCGGCGGCGGGCGGCGGGGCGACGGCGATGGCGGCGGCGGCGGCGATGGCGGCGGCCGGCCCCGGGCCGGTGCCGGTGCCTATGAACCTCTTCGCGACGTGGGAGATCGACCGCTCGGCGCCCAGCTGCGTGCCCAGGTGAGCCGGGCAGAGCCGACGCCGGAGGGCGCGGAGCGGGGCGGGGGCTCCGGAGGCGGCACCCCGGGGCCCCGGAACCGGACAGCCGTCGCAGGCCGCGGGGGGAGGCCGAGGGGCTCCGGGGCGGCACCGAGGGCCGCTTCGTCACGGAGCCTCGCGCCGAGGGGCGGGGGGAGAAGGGCTTGGGATCCATCCGGGCGCGGTGTCTGCGAGGGGCGTATTCCGGCGCCGCACAAAGAGGGAAGAAGGCATGGTTGCCGCGGGGTGTGAGAGCGGCAGTCCCGGGGGGGGGGAAAGGAAGGGCTCCGGGAGGCGCCGGGCTTCGTCGCGAGGAGCGGCCGTGCCGCCGGGTTGCTCCCGTCGGCGCCGTGCTGCTGCCCGGATCGCCGCACGTGTCGCCGGGCCGCCGTGCTGCTGCGGGAGCGGGACGCGGCCGGGCATCGTCTGCCTGTGGGCTG